GTTCTTATCTTGGGTGCCCAGAGTGTTTCAGGCACCCAACCGCAGATATCCTGCTGTTGGGCATCTGTCCTGCCTTGCCTCTGACCCTGCACTGCTCCAGTCTTGCAAAATAGTGTTGCCAGCATTATGCTAGGGCTTTATTCTTTCATTCCCCCATTTTTCTTCTATCTTAGAATGGAATCCTTCATTCTACGGGTCTAGGGAGAGTCAATCTCTGTCTCCAGCTGCTTGAGTTGATGATACTGCTGGGTTAGCACTAACGTCTGTATGACGGAGAGCTGGTCCTTTATAAACTGAACTAGCCGATTTAGGATACAAGGCCCAACTAGTAGAATCAGGAGAATTATGATTAGAAGACCCATAATGGAGAAGATCAGGGTGGTAATCCAGGGGGACCGACTAAACCATCTCTCGTACCAGCTCTGTCCTGACTCAAAGAATTGCTGTCTCTGAGTCTTTCTCTGAGTTTAGCCATGTTATCTCTTACCAATCCAGTATGGTCAGCATAAAAGTAACATTTTTTTCTTTAAAGCTGCACATAGTCCTCCTTTTTGTAAGAAGAGGATATCTAGCCCCCTTCTATTCTGCAAGACTACTTATAAACCTATTAGGGCCTCCCCCCCCCCGAGCCAGTCTTATCTTTAGTGGATTTTGGGTGCGATGAAGTTTCCATGAGGAGGCTGGAGTCTGATCTTGCTTTGCGTCCCGATGAGCCGCTTTGGCATGGGAGGCGTGTACCCACGCTGCGATACTGTCGACCTTGAGCGCCGTCGGGGTTGTTAGCAACACAGTATATGGTCCTTTCCAGCGGGGTTTCAAGTTCTTGGTTTGATGTCGGCGGACCCAAACTGTGTCTCCGATCTGGAACAGATGCGGCACCACCGGTCGGTTTAGCTGTTCCTGGTATGCAGCAGCGATGGGTTTCCAGACTTCTTTCTGGACAATCTGCAGTGCCTGCAAATGAGCTTTTAGAGAGGGGCTGTCAGCAAAGGAGGCTATATAGGGATCAAAGAAATTAACGACCGGTGGTGGAGCTCCATACAGGATCTCGAAAGGAGTGAGTCCATGGGGGCCCGGGGTGTTCCGGGCCCGGTATAGGGCCAGTGGGAGGAGGACCACCCAGTCTCTAGAGCCAGTTGCCAGCGTTAATTTGGATAAGGTCTCCTTGAAAGTTTTATTTATTCGTTCACTAACTTAACCTGGGCCAAATTAGTGGGGCGCTTTGCTGCCCCATGGAGACCCGCTATCAGCAACTGGCGATAGAGACGTAAGTGATTCCTACCGTCCTCTGTGGCGAAGTTCCAATCAGGTCGTTCCAAGGGGAAGGCCTTGTTGATCTCGTTTGGCAACTGAGTAGGCTGCCCGTTATCCCCCGGAACGTTTTTACGGGCTTTCAAAATGACCCGTTGCTTCTCCTCGGTGGTCAGGAGGGCCTGTAACAGCTGCTGACAATCGTCCCAGGTGGGCTGGTGGGTTACTAAAATGGACTTGATTAAAGCAGTGAGTCTAGAAGGATCCCTAGAGAAAGGGGGGGTTATTATTTTTTTCAGTTATATAGATCTGAAGCGGAAAAAGGCCAGTATTGGAGCTGGCCGTCAGGCCCCGCTCGTAATGGGAGAGCCTGAGATGTGGAATCCGGAGGGGCCTCTCGGCGCCCTCTCAACCGCCCTGCCACCGGGGAAGGAGCCGGTTCCTCCTGAGGTCCGGCTGCGGCGGCTTCTCCCGGCTCTTGGTCGGGGTTTGGGTCCCTATAGGGTAGATATAGGGGTAGTAAGCCAAGGAGAGCTATTATTCTTTTTTTTTCTAGGGTCTCTCTAGGCTTTTAGCCCAGTTGCTGCAATATTAGTTTTTATTTCAGCTAAGCAGATGCTCAAGATAATAGCTAATGCCAGGGAGCCACTTTTGACTTAGCATTTCAGCCTGCTAGGGGGGATTTGGGCGAAGATCCGTCTTCTGGAGCTTCTTCGATGCTGACCGTTGGACCGTAGGCATCAGGAGCTAGGGAGGCTGAAATGCCAGTCAAAGGCTGGGCAATAGGGCAGTCCCAAGCATCTGGTTAGTTGATCCACCGGAAGAGGCAGGGAGCAATCAGGTCAGTTTCCAGGAAGTCCAGATCTCAGCTTGCAGTCCACAGCTGATCCCAGAACAGAGTTAAACAGGTGAAAATCTGCTGAGACAAATTTAGACTGGAGACAGAAGTTAAAATTTATCTATTAAATTGGAAAGATCAGGGAAAATCTCATCTGTGATCCTTTTGAGCTATGCCAGATCCAGGTCAAATCCTGAAACTTATATGAAATTTTTTAGTACACAAAAGGAAATACATAATTTTAAATACTCAGAAAAGTAACATATCAGCAAATTGAACATTTTGAGAGTAACAGGTAAAACTGCATCCCACTGAATAAGTATCAGCTGTTTGTTTTATAACCTTTATACACAACTTAAGTGTGTCCACGGTAACATTTTTTCTGTGGGCATAGCTGTTGGTAATTAGCCACGAATGAAGCTTGGCCATTTTTTTTATACACTCAGCATCTTTTAGTCCCCATCTCTATGTTCATACTGGAAAGTTAGGCAGAAATACATTACTGGCTTTAGTGCTAAACCCTGGATGCTCGATTTTTCTTTATAAAGTAACTAGAAGGAATAGGTTTAAGATATTCCTGTGTCAAAATCTACCCCAGAAATGGCAGATATTAAGAATACCATACTAAAAGCTATGACTTTTGGGTCAGATATACACATTAAACAGATGTTTTTAACATGATGAGAAGTACCTTTAAGTCTATCTCCAGAAGCCAACCAAAGGAAATTAAAATCTCAACCTGGTGACTGAATAATAAGCAGTCAGTGCTCCATCAACTTATCAGAACTCTATTGATTAATGCCAAAACTCTGAACTTCTGAAATCTCATAAAATAAGCACAACAGTAGCAAAGAGGGGGGAGAGATCTAAAGTATCTCTCATTTTTAACATGCTTTAAACTATTTTAATATTATTATAACTTATAATTATATACCTTAAAACATCAACTTAGACACTCCAATTTTTTTGCATTTATCAACCCTGAAACATTTTCTCAGACTAAATAACAACACTCTAGATTTTTACAACCTAAACTCCTATATCCTCAGACTCTACATAGGCTCCGTATTTTTTTTTAATCTAGCTATATATTTTAAGACACAGATAACTAACATGTAGGCAAGGGCCAGGCCTTATCTAGGAGATTGCAGCCTACTGGTATTAATGAGGGCCAGAACTGCACATGACTAACAACAAATTTGGGTGTGTAGTATAAAGACCGTTCTTGTGTAGTGCTTCACTTAACCCACACAACACTGGCAACAGCATTTCTGTTATTGGCTTTATAGATGAAGAAATCAAGGCTGAAGGGGCTGGCTGAATGCCTATGCAAATAACACCCAGCCAAGTACAGGCTCTAAGAGAACAATCAATAAATGGGAATTCATGAAACTGAAAAGCTTCTGTAAAGCAAAGGACACTGTCGTCAGAACAAAACAACTACCCACAGATTGGGAAAGGATCTTCACCAACCCTATATCTGACAGAGGGCTAATATCCAATATATATAAAGCACTAAAGAAGTTAAAAAGCAACAATTCAAGGAATCCAATTAAAAAATGGGGAACAGAGCTAAACAATTCTCGATAGAGGAATATCGAATGGCAGAGAAACACTTAAAGAAATGCTCAGTGTCATTAGTCATCAGGGAAATGCAAATCAAAACGACCCTGAGATTTCACCTCACACCCATCAGAAGGGCTAAGATCAAAAACTCAAGTGACAACATATGCTGGAGAGGTTGCAGAGAAAGGGGAACCCTCCTCCATTGCTGGTGGGAATGTAAACGGGTACAACCACTCTGGAAATCAATCTGGTGCTTTCTCAGACAATTAGGAATAGCTCTTCCTCAAGTTCCAGCTATACCACTCCTAGGCATATATCCAAAAGAGGCTCAAGTACACAATAAGGACATTTGCCACGTGGCAATTGTGTCCTGCTTCTTCCATTCTCCCCTAGGAGGGCAGAGGGGAGATTGAAAGGACTTCCAAACTTCTTTGTTAATTTATCTACTTTAATGTCAATGCCACCTCCTGAGAGGAACCTCGTTTTGAGTGGAAAATGTATATAAAGCTCCAGAAGTTTCTGTAAGTTTCTCTTTAGGTGGGATCCTAGTTTGATTTGAGTTGCCATGATGAACAATCTAGGGAGGAAAAGGTGTATTTCAGCTTACACTTCCAGGTCTGCAGTCCATTATTTGGGGAAGTCAGGGCAGGATCTCCAGTCAGGTGCCATTGGAAGGAGTATCGCCTCAGCTCCGCCCCACCCCCGTGTTTAGCTAGATTTGTTATAAGCCAAGGCCCACCTGCCAAGAAGATCCACATCAGTCATCAGTGGTGACAGTCTCGCATAGACGTGATCATAGGCCAGTCACTTGAGGCTCTTCACGGGTTATAAAAAGTAAGCAGCGCAGGGAACTAGAGTGGAGGTGCCCTTGCAATAATGGAGGGAAGGGTAAATGTACTTATTGCCACTGAATCAGATGCCTAAAAAACGCCGAGGCTCGTTCATTTTTAAATTCCGTGTGTATTTTTCCACTTTTAACAATTTTTTTTCAGTTTTTAAGAGAAATTATCATCGCTGTGTATAGAGTGGGGGTGGGTTGGAAGGTAGGATTTAAGAAGCGCTTCACTTACCCCATGTTTAATACACGCGGACACTCCTTTCCCCCAAGGCGTTGGGGCTCAGATCCGTAGATAGTTATTTCAAGGGATGGTTCTTTGGCTGTTTGAGCTCAATAAACCGCGTTTATCTCCCAGGGATGATTTTATAAACCACATTTTATCACACATTCCCCAAACGGCTGCGTGAAACCCAGAGCCCAGGGATGTCCAGGATGGGGACGCGCGTGGCCCCCGGCGGTTGTGACGCGGAGACCAGGGGTCGCGAACCGCCACCCCCTCCCGTCCCCATGGCGTCTGCCTCCCGCGCCCCCGCGAAGCCCCCGCAGGTCCTGGTCCTCGACCCACCCTCCGTCCTCAAGTTCAAAGGCCCCTTCACCGCGGTAGTCACCACGCATCTCAAATTGTGCAACCCGTCGTCGAGGACAGTGTGCTTCAAGGTGAAGAGCACCAGGCCCCGCCGCTACTGCGTGCGGCCCACCAGCGGCGTCATCGAGCCGGGCTGCACAGTGACGGTCGCCGCCATGCTGCAGCCCTTCGGCCGCGACCCCAGCGGGGAGGGCACGCACAAGTTCATGGTGCAGACAGTGTTTGCCCCCGAGGACACTTCGAATCTGGAGGCCGTGTGGAAGGAGGCAAGGCCCGGCGAACTCATGGATTCGAAACTGAGGTGTGTGTTTGAAATGCCGAGAGAAAGTGACCAACAGGAACAAGTCTTGAGATTCAGAAAGGCCGCGCACGCCAGCAGGCCGGAGCCCACCTCCTCCACCTCCCTGAAGCCGAATCGCACCTCGCCTTTCCCTGTTGTACTTCTCGTGATCGGAGCAGTTTTCGTCGGATTCTTTCTAGGGAAATACCTCTTGTAGAGGGAGGCGAGCACGGCACTCTTCCTCTCACCCGACTCCCACTTAGACCAGAAGCAAGATTCCTTTACCCACCGCCTCATCGGGAGGATGGCTCGCAGTGACGACTTGGTGTGTGTACAGCGTCACTTAGGCTTCGCCCCAAATGATCTTTCGTGGTTGAAGGACGCAATAAACAAACAAACAAACAAACAAGCCAAATAAGAAATGTTGGGCTACTGGACAGGTTGCATATTATCAGACCACCATAAGTCAGTTGCCCATTCTGTGCGGGGTGAAATTCATCAAGAGGTGTTCTTTTGGTTTTAATAAGAGTTCAAGAATTGTTCAGTCTTGTAAATGTTTATTTTGTGAGTCTCTTTAGTTTTTTTTTTTTTTTTTTTAAATCTGCTGAGTTACCTCTTGAAATATGATTTATTGAAATTTGCTAACCCTCCCTTCCAGGAAATGCCAAGAGGAGTTCAGTTGGGGGTGAGGTGGGGGAATGGTATCTTTTTCCACATATGCTAATGTGGCAAAAATTTCCCTGTCCCTTCTGAAGCAATTTTTGACTGAGTTTTTCACTCTTACAAATCTGCCCAGTGGTATTTAACTTAAAAAAAAAAAAAAGAAAAAAAAAAAAAGTTAACAGGTTCTTTTTGGGCAGCCCGCCGTGGTCTGTTGTGTCACTTGGGGCAGTTAGAAGAAAAGTGGGAATCTGAAATTTACACTGCGTGATTTTTGTTTGCATTGAAGCCCTTCCACACAGTTTAGTATTGTAATTAAGACTCCCCACTTTATTAAGGAAAGGAATTTATAGAATTTCAAGCTATTTTGATAGTTTGAACAACTGTAATGGATTTATTTTACAGAGATCTAAAATAATCAAATTCAACAAGAGTGCTGTAGTTGCCATGACTTTGTGTATGTGCCATGTAGTTTCCTTGGGCTTAAGTGATTCCATTCCTGCCAGGTTTTTGTTGTTCTTTTGTTTTGTTTTCTTTTGTTTTGTTGTTTTTCATTGTCTTCTCCAGGAAGACTCACTGTCCTGGATTTTGAAGTACTTATTAGCTAACCTAATACTTCTTATTATTTTATGACATATTTCATCATAATCACAGTTGAAAATAGGGTGGTATTTTTTTCCCTTAACATCCAAAATGGGTTTCCATTAAGAAAAAGGACTTTTTCTTTGCATATCAAACTGTTAATCATGTAAAGCACTGTTCAGTATAAATGTTCACTCTGGGTTCAGATATTTTCTTGCATTTGGCCTTATGTCTTATGTTATCTTATTCACACTAAGAAAATTTTGGCATCCGAGAAAATATGTCTTGTTTTAAACTGAGGCTAGCCTAATACAAGTGCTTTTTATTCTTGTATTTAGACGTTGGTTTTGTAGAAGATGTTCTATGGCAGAAGGGAGATTGCCTCTTTAGTTTCGATGTGGTACAATGAACAGGCCAGGTCTGTGAGCGCATTTTATGTAAGAGTGAGATGTATCCAAGTATTTTGGTTGTCTTTTCATTTCAAATGTGTTTGAGTTGGTCAGATCACATGTGTTGTTATTGTACTCTGCAGTGTCTTTTATAAAGCTTCTTGCCTGTGTGTGGGGGTCCCTGAACATTATATGCTACTGAAGGTTCTGTAACCATCGCTTTTGCTTCCTGTTACTGTCAGCTTCCTCCCCCATAGCTGAAAAAGCATGATTAAAAGAGTTTAAAGTTTCCATGCCATAAATACTGGTCCTACACTGACCGCTTAAGGCTTTGTAAATAACCAACATCCCTAGTGATAAATATCAACTTTGGTATCTTGTGTCTTCTTAAAAAATATTTAAAATTTCAAAAACTTAGAACAATCCCTTAGAATTCATCTTATTTAGCTCCTATATTTTATAGCTGGGGGATCTGAGTCCCTATAAGAGTAGAAGAGATGTTTTTATGTTTTACAGGTAGGGAGAGACAGAACTGAAAAATAGAAATCTGATCTCTTAGCCTTTTGTCTGCTCTAGTAATTTTGTAGGAAAAATATTAATTTGATAAATGGCTGAAATAATGAACAATGCTATTTACTAAGCATATATGAGAGATCCCCTTCCCCTGCTGGGCATGGTACTACTGGACTGTAATCCCAGCACTTGGAAGGATCATCCTCATCTACATAGTGAGTTTGAGGTCAGTGTGGGTTACTTGTGACCATGGAGAGAGAGACACACAAACAGAGGACAGAGCACCAGGTTGATGTGTATATGTTAATGGTTAGGCTAGTTTTATTTCTCATATTGATTATTATCAAGGGCTATACAAAATGCATTGTGTTTTTAGGTAGACATTTTATAAAGTATACTATGAAGAAATGAATAAGACACAGCTTCTGAGTGTCTTACATGCAGCAAACAGCATCAGTTTCTAGTTCCCTGAATAGCGACATATTTTGTTGTTGTTGTTGTTGTCAATCGAACTGGAAAAGCTCAACATAGGGAGGGGTAACTTGAGAGTTTAGAAGGGGAGGTATTTTTGCTTTCAATAAAGAATGAGGTTATTCCTGCCTCCCCCTCCCCTTAATGCCCTGGTTATCAGCAGCACTGAGCTAGTCTGGGAGAAAACTACAGTGACTGTAGCCGAGGCTTTATAATTCATTGTTCTCCTGGTCATACCTTGATTCCATCATCTTTATTATAACAAGGCTCCCACCATTCCAGCTTCCCCCGGAGAAGGAACCTGAGTTGCAAATTTCCTCTGAGAGATCAACAGTGTTTTTCTGGATATTCTTTGGGACATCTGCTAAGCTCTACTAGATTGTTATTAGATCTGCTACAACAAGGATACAAGTTTAGATTTGGGGACTGTATTTTAGGAAGGAGCAGGCAGCACAGGTGTGAAAGATGTTGAAATGCCTGGAAATGATTTATGTTGAATACAAGGAAGAGAAAAGGTTTAACATGGACAGTGGCAGCCAGGTTGATGTCTTTAAATATTTAAAGATCTGCCATGTGGCCAGGTAAGAGCTCTTGTTTGAATTATTTTAGTGCCTAAACAAAGGTCAATAGAAATAAGTTCTACAATGGCAAATTACAGACAACAAATCAAATTCTGAGAAATGAATTCCCTTAAAGCAGAGTCTTTGGTCTCTCTCTCTCCTGCCTAACCTAAAGGGACATGCTTATGCTAAAACTCAGTAGGGGAAATGTCACTCAATTAAGGAGAAAATTAACCCACAGATTTACCCCTTGAAAACTGAGAAATATAAGTACTCTTAGAAATCATTATGAGAGCTTAGGTAACTGAGGTCCAGGATAGCAATTTGGTTTATCTGGCTCACACCAATTCCTTGCAGAGTGGGTATCGAAGCCCACATTTCTAATCCACATTCAGTCAGGCAATTTTCACCACAGGCTGCTCTCCCCTCTGACAGCTCACATGCAGTTCAGCTTCTTTGACACCGCACCTCCCCCAAGGCCATCATGAATTAATGGGGAAAGGAAGGAATCGCTGCTGAGCTTTGAATGATTTACTCCCTGAAAACCATTTACAGGAAATGAATACCGTTTAGATTCTTCTTTCCACCAATCAAATGAATCCTTTCCTTCGAAGAAAGAGACACATCTTTCAGGGACTGTGTAGTATCCAGCTGTTCTCTACATAAGCTCTGATTTCATTTGATAGCCATCTTGGCTTAATATTTATTGGTACATAGATTAGAAATTTACTTGCGTATTGAATCACATAGAACAGAAAAAGGATTGATAAAAGTAGCAGAGCCATTCAGGAGAGAGAGCAGAAAATCCTTCAGACATATTCTGAGAGCAGTTGTCTAAAAGACGTACTTGGCTCAAAAAAAGTGGGAGTATTCTGTGTTTGCTGTGGGCTTTGAGACCCCTGGGAGCCAGTTCTACACGTGGCCTGAGGCCTTCTCCACTGACATAGCTTTCTTTGGTGCCAGCTAATGAAAGCTGGTTGGTCATTGTAGGGCCATCTGTAAAATAGGAGTGGCTGCATCACTGTCCTTTCTGATGCCTTCAGATGTGCTTTAGGGTAATGAACAAGAGCACCAGCTTAAAGTGTGAAGAATCGTTGGATCTAGTGCTTAGGTTGGGGAAGTAGGTCATAGAGAGAACACTTGCTTAAAGACCCAGGGTTTTGATCACTATATGAAAATAAACTTCTTGTTAGACCTAATAAATTTTATTAAGACAGCTAGAGAGTAGAAATAGTCAAGTCCAACTATAGTGGAGGGAAATTTTTTTTCAACATTTTTTAAATTAAGTATGAGTTTCTCTGCTGACATTTTTTCTCTTTTTCAAAAAAAATTAGCTAATTTTTTTTGTTAATATATAAAATACTGGGCTTCATTATGGCATTTTTATTTTTAATGAAGAGTATTTTTAAAAAGGTAACCCTGCCAACCCAGTTCATCAGCACTAAGATTTCATTGATCATAAGATTATAATGATATCATTGCATGGTGGTGATATACATCTTTAATCCCAGCACTTAGGAGGCAGAGGCAGGTGGATCTCAGTGAGGCCAGCCTGGTCTACAAAGAGAGTTCAGGACAACAGAGTTATACAGAGAAACCCTGTCTTGAAAAACAAAAACAAAAAAAATATTATAATGATATCTCATACTGCTTTATTTTTCCTCTCCCTTCTTTGTCATATTTTCTCCTTTTGTACTAAATCTCCCTTCTCCTTCTTTATCTCACTACTTCCTTTTTATTTCTTTCTTTCTAGCCCTATTCTGCTATCATATGGTGCCCTGCTATTTCAGGAAAGTGAAGATGCAATTTAACAACATGTGCACAGGAAATGGTAAGAAATCCCAGCAGGGAGAGCCTTCTATGTTTGCCACTTCTATTAAAAAATGCTTCGTAGAGACTCCAGACTGTTTGGGCAAACCCATAATCCCAGCATTCAGGATGCCAAGGCAGGCAGATTTCTGAGTTTGAGCCTGATTTACAGAGTGAGATCCAGGACAGCCAAGGCTACACCAAAAAAAAAAAAAAAAAAAAAAAAAAAAATG